CTGAACGCGAGGTCTATAACCTTTTACCGGATTCTTGAGGTTCATGTGGTCCAGCTCATTGATGTTTTTTATGTCCTTTGTATCGTGTTCAGGGGGTTTAATTTTGTTATACGTAAGAAGTGACGCTATTTTTTCAGCGAGGAGGTCGACGTCTACTTCTAGTTTCGCAACTGGTGGTGAGTTCTCGACATCCATCACAGCGTGTTGACATTTCAGTATTTAGCTTATTTGTGGCTGACATCAGCAGTGAACTGCGCTCTTCAGGGTAGGTGGTCGGTGGCCCATCACGTCCAGCTGATAGCGAGTTGAGTATTTCCGGCAAATTTTTATCGCAGGAAATAGAAAACGGTTTACAAATAAGTGATTGGTCGTCTTTTCCTGAGTATATATTATCTTTGTGGGCGTCCGACCGTCCGAGCAAGGCCGAGCGGCTAGGGGCGTCGGTCCTTGCACGGAAGTCCGTGGTTTGAATCCCGAGTGAGGCGGACTTTTGTCGCACATAGTAGGGTCATGGACATTTGCATTCCCCATGCTAGCGAGATATCTTTATGATTGCATTAATTTGTAATGGGCGAATTTAATTGCTAAGTGACTACTTTACTGAGCACAAAGTAGAGCTTTTTTCCAAACCGAATTCAGTATAAAATGTCAATTAGAAGCAGTGAACGACTTAGCCTTCGCGGACAGATTCTAAGTAGTCTTCGCTTTCTGTCGGTTATCGAGCACTTCGTCGACGGAAGATTGACTTCGGAAGCACGATGGAACCGGTATTCGTAGGAATCTGAACTAAACCGAGCTGTCTGTTTTGTTAAACTCCGGATTGTGGTATCCTGAGGGCTTCAGTGAAGGATGAAGATATCGCCGGTAATGGGATCCGTGAAAGCGGAGGTTACTTGCACTTTTAAACTGATTTCTCGGTTTATTTCGACAAGGCGTAACTCCGGATAGAGACGGGTGATCGAAATGTCAAAACGTGGGAAGACGAGTAAATTCCAGTCGAATTTCCGTTGTCAACATCATTTGATTCGGAGACAGCTTTCATGGTATAGCTGTAGCGGCCGAGGACGTCAAGCGTATCACACACCCAAGTAAGAGAACGCCGAGAGTAGATCCTGGAGGAGATAGATCTGAAGAGAGTCGTTAGCATCTCTGAATACTCATTCACACACAGCAGAAGATGGGACGTCTGGAATGGGATACAGTATAGTATAACAAGACGGTCATGGGAGATACGTATAATATTAATAGTTACTCGTACAGTTGGAATGAGTTACAGCCATCAAATAACCTGTCTGGGTGGAGAGGCGATGCCAACGTGCCAGCTAGTAAACCGGTGGGGAGCGCAGCGCTGGGGGCACCTGCAGAGAGGGGCCGAGGGGGTTGCCGATGTAGCGAGGAGACGAGCGATACGGACGTTACGTTACAGTACAGCGAGGAGAAAGGGATCGGCGGAAGAGAGAGGAAGGGACACCGGCCACTTCACCGACACGCGACTACACCATCTCCACTCTAGGTCGTCGCGCCAAAAGTGTTCACACATTCAAAGAATTCTGCTCGCGCAAAGGGGAGTTACATAGCTACCACAGGGTTCCTCACCCACCGAGACCTCTTGGTCATGCGATGCATCCTTCGGCAGTGCGGCATTTGCTTGCATTGTGGCGTGGACTCTGCTCTCTCATAAAGACGCTCTGGTCTACTTTGTCTTTTCGAGATTCCCTGGTGCGTTTCTGCGTTTTTGAGACCCATTTCTGTCTTTTCTCACACAAGAGATCGGTTCTCATTCGTGATTAGTTCCTTAGAGGAGCTGTCTTCTTTCTGAGCGGCTGACACAGCTAATTAGACTGTGCTTGGATATGTTCTTTTTATTTTTTGAAGTTCTGACGTCGCTGACTTTCTCTTTTCGGGAGAAAGGCGAGGAATTTACACCAACTTCTCCATCTCCAAGACTTCCTGGAGAAGTCTGCAACGTGCCGCGCGAGTTTCAGTTCAGTTCAGTTTATTTGAGGGAACTATAGGTGTTGGACCTTTTAACTCCCTACTTGTTACAAGGAAGCGAACTATATCAAAAAATTAAAATGGAAACATCAAACAGCTACAGGGTGTCTTCAGATTGTTAAAGTTTTCAAGCCAGACAGATAAACGAATTGTTCCAAGAGTTAAAAACATTAACGTTACTAAGTGTGCTGTACAGTAGTCAGTCTATGGATAGTTGGTGCTATCTCAGTTTCTGAGGGAGACGAGTTAGATGCCAACACACATTCAACAGACATTGGACAATAATAAAAAACAAACGTTACTGAAATAAAGGCAGTAATATAACAACATTAACGAACTTCTCGAAAGAAATGCTAGAAGTTGTCGGTCAGGTGGCATTATGACGTTTGGTGGTAAACTGGTCCAACTTGCGTTTAAAAACCTCGACGGAGGTGGACATGACGACATCTGTAGGCAGAGCATTCCAGGCCTCAATCACTCTGTTCGAGAAGAAGAACTTCCGAATGTCCAGCTTGGCGCCAGTTACGCGTAGCTTAAGTGGATGACTTCGGAGGTTCGTTGTGGTCGCTAACTCAAAGAAATCAGCAGGTACGAGACAGCAGTCGTGGCCGCGCAGTATACGGAATGTTTGTATAAGGTCGCCTCTTAGCTGTCTGTAACTCAGTGGAAAATGTCCGAGATTGGACAATCGTGTTTCAAAGGGTAGTGAACCCTGTCCACTTACTAGTTTGGTCACCCGCCTTTGGACTTTCTCAAGGATGCTGAGATCTTTAGAGGTCCAGGGTTTCCACGCCTGAATAGCGAACTCTAGCTGTGGCCGTACGAAAGTCCGAAAGTCTTTAACGAAGCAGTTCTCATCGAAGGTAGAGAAAGCTCCCTTGACAAGATAAAGGACTGACATCGCAGACTTGACTAACTTGGAGCAGTGGAGCGACGGTTGCAGAGAAGCCGTTACCCAAACAACCAAGTCTTTCTGGGCATCTACCTCCTGCAGTGGTACGCCATTTAGGTAGTAAACCCTCCGGCTTTGAGATCGGGTTCTGCCGACTCGCAAAACATTGCACTTAGTCACATTAAACGGCAGAAGCTAGTCCTGTGACAATCTCTCTAGTCGGGTCAGGTCTGCCTGCAAGCGGTCTTCGTCTTCGTAGTTCACATCCATTAAGGTTACTGAAGTCTTGGCGCGTTTGGCGGGAGGAGATTTGATGGCAGGAAACGCGACACTGTATTCATTTATACAATGTGATTTGCCTATTCCATACTTTTTCTGCCCGTCTGCCGTGCGTAGGTGGTCTATTGGTAACGACATTAGCCTCCTCACGCTCTTGACAGGGTTCGATACCGACTCGCAGCGGACTTCTTGAGCAACATCCCGAAGGCACTTGTTCCATTAAGTAAACAAACTGCAGAAGGAGGAGTTATTTAACCAGACCAACGATAGGATTTTAATTGCAAACGACTTGGATTTGGAGAGTCCCAATGTTCTGTTGGCAGAAAAGTGATCCTAAGGAGAATGGTCTTCCCAACGAAAGTCCTGTTGAAGCTCCGTGAAGATTGAGGTACGATGACTACGAATCAATTTTGTGATCCAAATGGACCCTCACAGCATCCAGCAGACATAAATCCCGAAAAAGACAAACCTCTCGAAGGTCAAAACATTCGAGCCGAATTCGAAAGGCGTGCATGTGGTCTCCGGGTAGATGTGGAGTCGTTTCAGAGAGCTCACCAAAGTGTCCTTGTAGTGACGTTTTGGCCTTTCCAGTCGGCGAACAACCGTGACGACATCTCTGTGGAAGCCTTTTTTGGTAGGCGAGCATCGCCGTCCTCACCAAGTGGCCATTCCATCGCAGTTACAGTTGCAGTTCACTCAGAATGGTGTGGATACTGATGTTTCCGGTCCGTTTTAGAACCTCCGTGTGCGGGATCCTGTCCTGCGGAGGCNATGCGCCCAAAAGAACCTTGTTCAGGCTCCGCGCTTACCGTGGTCAAAGGTTGACTAACCACATACAACTTTCGGCGCCCTTCCGCTCTTGCCGAGCCTGTAATTTAAAAACCTAACTTTTATCGATTTTGTTTCGCTCACTGTACCCCGCCCTATGTAATTGTATTGGCCTGATGAGAATTTACCGAAAGGAACGTTCACTCGCCACTCTCTCTTCTGAATATAGTGATGGGGATTTTCACATATTTGAGGTTCCTGGCGTGGTTGGGGTAGACGGTCTACGCCTCTGCTCCGTACAGAAGCGTCTTCGGAACGACGGTTTTGTGCATCTTCAGTTCACTATTCAATTAGAGGCCGTGGCAATTCCACACGGAGGCCTGCAGCCGGCCGATGTTCTGGCTGGCTTTGGAGAGCCGATGGGCAGCCTCGTCGATTTTTGGGCAGGAATGACTTATGTGGACATCTAAACAGGACATGAAAATAGGAACGCCCCGCCCAACTAATAACGGTGTACTTGCGCCTAATTCTGGAAAGGATAAAATGCTTCCGGGTCCTAACCCCAACAATAAACCTGACATAAAACTAAACCGTTGCCCTAATTCTGACCCCAACCCTACCCTAAACCTTGACACTGCGGTTAACACTAGCCCCTACATTAACCCTTTACTTGATCCTGACTTACCTTAGCGTTTACTTTAAATCTAACCTTAAATCCTGTTTTGTCCGCGCTGGTAGTCAACCCGAAGTTGGCGCATCCGACGGCGAAGAGGTCAATGCTCCTTTCCATGTCTGCTTCGTTTGTGGTGTTGATCGTACAGTCTTCCGCGAAAAGCAGGTCGTGGACTGTATTCGTAGATAGTCGCCTTGGGACAGGGATGCGCCAGCTATTGAGAAGATGCCCTTCAGTCCTGTATGGGATGCAGATACCGGCGTCCATCAGCATGTTAGAGAACATGAAGCTGAAAAGAGTAGGAGCCAGTGAGCAGTCCTGCTTCGCTCCATTGGTCACTGCGGATGCCTCGGTAATCGCCCCGTTGTTCGTTACACACACCATCACCCCATCATGGAGCTGACGCACCACATGAGTGAAGCGCTCATGACAGTCGAATTTCTGCATGATTTTCCGCAGTCCATCACGACTGATCGTGTTGAAAGCGTTCGTCAAATCCACGCAGGTGGTGTAGAGGGGAGTTCGCATCTCCTGGCACTTCTACAGCTGGCGAGCGGCGAAGATCATGTCAGTCCTTCCACGGTGTCAACAAAAGCCACATTAACTTTCAGGGTGCAGTCCTTGCTGTAAGTAGCTGTTGGGACGATTGAAGATAAGGCGAGCAAGGATCGTCCCAGCAATTTTCAGTAATGAGATGACCCTTTAATTATCACATACTCGCACAACGGCCACTGCCAGTTTACACCTCCGCATCCTCCTGGGACTGCGTCAGTAGCAGTCGGCTTTTGCATGGGCGAGGGAAATGATTATGAAGTCGACACTGGAGAATCCATCCCCACAGCTACTCGACGTATTCCTCACTATAATAAATATGACACGATTGAATCTATCCCAACAAGCAAAGAGTCGTGGCATGGAGAGCGGTCAACTGGCTGGCTAACTCGATCCTCACTAAAGTATTTTGGAGGAAAGATTCGACCAAGAATTAGGCTGTACTGGCGTCTTCTCATATGACCTTTAATGCACCCTAATTGATGTGAGGTCTAAGAGTGAAAAAATGTAGACCTCGTCGATTTTAGCATTTGCAGACGGGCTTTTAAAATTTTTCAGACATTACGTCCTCGCCGACATTCAACCTTCTTGTCATCGGCTGCTGATGATTGGGGGGAGGAGAGAGTGCAGCATATGCCTCGAATGTTCGCCTACCTGTAAACTAACTCACATGTAATTCACCGGTGCTGCGCACATTCTATGGGACACAAATTGCAAGCCGTCATTCGCGACAGTCGAATTGCCGGTGTAAAAGTACTGCAAAGCATTAATTAGTATCCCACATCAACGCCTTATGCAGAAACTGAGCGTCATTGGCATCAGAAGAAAGCTTTCTTAATAAACAAGGGCATAGAGAGTTGGTCGGAAAAAAACGTGTGTTCTAAAAAGGATCAGTCGGAGGGAGCGAACGCGATAAGCTATGCTCCCAGGTATTCGGTTCCTTAGGCCCTTGCCTTTCAATGCGCCGCAAATCAGCGTGAACGGAACCCATCAGCAAGCGGTGGACGTATCTGGGCAGCACCCTCTCCAGCAATACCAAAATTGACGATGATGTGTCCCGCCGCATTTCCAAAGCCAACCAAGTCTTCGACCATCTGCAGAACACCGTCTGGAACCGTCACAGTCTCCAACTCAACACGAAGCTGAAGATATATAAGGCAGTCGTCCTGCCGACGCTGTTGTGCGGAACGGAGACCTGAATGGTCTAAAAGAAGCAGGCGCGGAGACTCAGCCGCTTCCACCTTAACTGTCTTCAACGGATACAGAAACTGAGGTGGCAGGACCGGATCCCGAACACGTGTGCACTGGAGCGGACGGGAATTCTCGGCATCTGCGCCATGTTCAGACAACGGAAACTGCGTTGGGGCGGCAATTTTGTGCGGATGGACAAAGAGCGGCTACCTAAACAAATTTTCTATGAAGATGTTGCCACGGGTTCCCGCCGACAATGAAGCCAAGTCTGTCGCCACAAGGACGCTCTGGAGACTTCCCTGAAGCGTCTGGAGATCGACCCGTTCAACTGGGAAGACCTTGCCCCAGACCCACCGGCCTGGAGGAGGACAGTGAAGATGGACGCAATGACTTACGAAGCCAACCGCATCATCACCGCCAAAGCCAAACGCGAGACACGCAGATCCCGACTACGCCCGCCTTGAAACGCTCAACCACCCCCGACCTGCCCACGCAGCCAGCAGACTTTTTAGGCAACAATCGGCCTTGTAAGACATCTACGTATCAACTGCATCACCGTCACTACATTATCTGTCGTCTCTCCGTCCACTCCTCCCTCGCCTCCCACGCCGTCAACAAACGTCGACCGTACTCCCAAACCTACCCTACCATCCTCCTCCTCCTCCACCGCCTCAACGTTTGCCGCTGTGGCGTCTGCCATGGCCATCAACACTACACACAACCCTGACACACCAACCAACACCAACACCACCAGCCTCTACACCAGCGATGCGAACTCAGTCCACGTCTGTCTTCATTGCGGTCGCACATTTGCCTCACACATCGGCCTGGTCGATCACTTGCGAATCCATCCCACAGAGACTGGCCAACCAGTGCCCGGAACATCAACCTACACCCACCGCATTCGCCTCCACTGTCCACACTACCCCCGCACATTCACTCACGGCATGGGCCTATTTGGGCACATGCGTATCCACGAGAGCGGGATCGACCGCAGTCTCGACAAACCTAGCACCTCCTACACACCCACCATGCCTAGCCCTGCCAACACTCCACCGCCCAGCGCGCCAGCCTCCACCAGCTCCATCATCTCCATCATCGAAGCTGATACTGACACCACAAACTCCTCATGTCCACATTGTACCTCTACATTCACCTCAAGAATCGGCCTGGTCGAGCACTTGCAAATCCACCCCGCAGAGACTGGCCAACCAGTGCCTGTAACACCAATCCACAGTCGCCGCATCCGCCTCCACTGTCCACATTGCATTCGCACATTTATTTATCGCATGGGTCTATTAGGCCGCATGCGTGTCCACGAAAACCCGTGGTGGACAACCGCCGGCTGCATCACATCACTACATCCTCCCTCATCAGCATCTCACCGCACATCAACAACGCTCACCACAAGCATCCAGCTGCCACCTCCCACGCAAGTGGGAAGTGTACGTCTCGGCTCCTTCTCCACGCGGCTCCCCTGCTGCATGCGTGATCGGAGTTTGAGACGTAGACGGTGCGTCGAGCGCCGTGGCTCAGAAGGCAGCCGACTGACGCCCCAACTAAGTCTACCCAGATGTCGTGTGTGTTGTCTGGAGTGGCGGACTGGTCAGCTAAGAGCCAGGCCGTCACGGCCCATCCTCAAGACATCTGTGACACTCTCATGAATGTGAGGAGAGTGTTTGCATTTGTGTGTGCACTTTAGGGGAAGTGCCTCTCAGTCGACGACTGTTTGGTTACCCAACCTTGAAGGGTGACAGCCCAGGCTAAATGCAGGGCCACTTGTCGCCCTTTTAGGTCAAAAGGTCGGAAAGCGTGTGCTATGTCAGTAGCAGAAAACCATGGCCCTCTCAGCCTGGTATGCGCTGGCAGTTCCCTGGCACCTGGTTCCCTGCCGGTAGATGCGCGTGCGCTCCCACTGGGTATAACGGTGGTGGACATCGCTGCCCAGTCATCCTCGTCCTTGTTGGGGTGTTGTTGTTGTTGTTTTTAGTGGTAGTGCTGGTGGTGGTGCTGGTGGTGGTGGTGGTGGTGGTGAAGATTCCTGGTTAAGTGTATGTTGTGGACCAGGGGTGTGGTGGCACGCCAAGGTGTGGGTCCGGCTGTACCAGCCACCTGCGCCCTCCCTCGCCTCCAGTCTTATTGACTCTGTTTTGACACCGGGTCCAGGTGGGGAGTGGGGACGAGAGAGTGGCGTAGGTGGAGCGCAAGTATACTATCACTATAAACAAATTCATACACAAGTCACCGTACCCGCTGCACTTTGCTGTATAGCACACAGTGGACATCGTCAGAATCGACGGTGGAACTGTGGTATGTTGATGACAGTCTTCGGGATCGCAGCTGCGGTAGGATCATGTTTGCCAGTGACGTTAAGCCTTATCAGGCCATTAAGGGCCCAGTGATCAGACGGATCTTCAGAATAATCTCTACTGACTGTAGAACTGATCTAGGCTCTGGCTATTCGATTTCAGTGTACAAAGTTGTATCGTTTTCAATCTCCGTCAGAGTAACCACCACCCGGACGACATCATGGAAGCATGTTATCTGAACAACCTTCAATTTCCCATAGAGTCTTCGCAAAAGAATTTTAGTAGTTGGATGCAGAACAATCTGAAATTATCATTGTGAAGCGTAAAGCCTGCAAAAGTATCTATGAAGGTACTGCAGACTGCCAAAAGTACGTTTGTAGCTTTACATTATGACTTTGTGATAAATTGTACGGCAACTTCATTCGTCCTTATCTAGAATATGACATACAGGCACGGAAGCCATGGCTTGCAACGGAAAAAGTAAACCATGGGGAAGTGCAACCTTGGGCAACAAGACTAATAAAGGGTTCAAAACGACCATCTAATCGAGAAACAGTGAAATGTCTTGATTTATTTTCTGCGCCACAGGCAGCACATAATACGTGACCCTGAACAGGGACACTTTTAATTGGGGCCTCTCCCCTATCCTTCGTTAGCACGCATGTTTCCAGACTAAATCTTCATTCTGAATTCTTCACCCAGCAGATCGGAAGACGATAGAATGATCTCCTCGAATCAGTTGTGTAAGCCGCATAACTGCAGCTCTTCAGAGGACATCTAGATAGTTATGTGTTTTCCTGGTTTTCCATCGACATACTTAGTTACATTTCAAATGCACGTCAAATCCACTCAAAACATTGCTCCCGAGGCTATCCCACATAAATTTTGCATACACTATTTTGATGGTGACAAGTTATTTAGAATCTACGTACATATGTCTATGGCGCACGAACATGCAGAAAGCAGAGGTTTCAAAGGATTTGATTATTTCCCTCAAAAATTAGTTGGAAAGACTGAAAACCGACTCTTTCTATATGTAGTTGAGCTGGTACATTTTATTTAACCTTCGGAAGTAACAGGTCGGAAGACAGGTTTACCGTTCTTTCGATGAAACATTGTTGTCGAGGTCCAAAAACGCACTGTTGTAATTAAATCAAAAATAAGAAGAGTCTCTAATACCAATAAACAACTTTGTTCTTTGGGGTTACCTTCCCCTACTTTCAAAAAATTATCTGCATGGAATCTGAATTACAATTGGTGATTGCACTTGTATTGCTGACGATCGGCATTCTTAAACTCATTTTATCGTAGTTATCGGGTTGACGATAAACAAAGTCCTATTTTCTCTCGAGGAGGTCCTCCGTATCCACGAGGAAGAAATGTAATGCTTTAGCGTAACATATATTTTGCACATGTTCTCCAGCTTCATATTGCTCTGCAAAACAGTATGCTCTTTCGAAAACACGTGGAATAAAACCAAAGACAAGGATATGGACCTGGCCTTCTTGCGATTCCTCATTTGGATTCAGGGACATTAAAACCACTGAAAACGTCACCAGAATAGTCGTCCTTGTCACACATCTAGGTCTCACTTCTTGTTCGAGAATTTCCACCGCGTAGATAAGGAGTTCCAGATCTACGAAAACGAAGGACATAAAACCAAAGGGAACAAATAAAAAGGAACCACTGTTAATGGACATAAAATCTGTCAGGTGAAAGTGATGTAGATGAATCAACTGCCCAAACCGCAGTCTGTCAATAAGTCAGCCGACAACACACGAAAAGGCGAACTCAAAAAAGAGGTTGAGACGGAAACGAGCTACTCTTCCCTGGCAGTCTTGACACAGAATATGGGGAGGTGAGATCACAAGGTTTCTACTTTACTGGCTTGAATATCTCAATCACGAAGTATCTGTTCGTACCGCTGCAAATAATGCAAACTAAGGGTAAGGTGATTCCATACTAACAGCACAGTAATGCTGTTCTTATGGGATCGCCACACACTAAAGTATACTACTAGCTGCAGGTCGGCAGTTAACTAATATTACGCGGTTATCCGCTGTGCCTGATGGACTTCGGCTCAGATATTCATGCATAAGAACTTTGGTCTGAGCCCATGGACCTTAAATATACTGATCTACTCCAAGTTCTCAGTTAATTTTAAGGAAATTCGAAAGCAACAAATGCAAACTAAGTTTCTGAGGTCCAAGATAATGAGTTACGTGAATGGAATGGAGGGGTAAGTACTTTTGAACGCAACGGCGTTCTAACTTATCGACTGGGAAAAACACTGCTTTGACTTCTTTAAAATCCGATTGCGGAGTGAGACTCTACGGCCAGTTAATCAAAACAGTTACTGTACAAACCCGAAGGCTTACGCCTACTGACAAGTCGGCACATGGTGTATATGATGTCACACCTCTCTTAGCTTCTTTTTCCGCGGATCTGGTAGCCGAAGCTTCTAAATTAATTATAGAGGGCAATATCGGTAAAACGGAGAATCATCTTGGGTACGTCCGAATCTTCCAATTAATGACTTCGTCCCACAAAGTACTTCGAAGTTTATGGTGCAATCGTCAAAAACGTGCAAGGCAAATCAATAAGTCTCCGACTTCTGGCCATATGAGCAAAGTGGTCTCAGAACGATTTGAGTCCCTGGCTTTCCAACACCACAGACAGAAATTTAGGACTGAGTATGTGAATAATGTATTCGTCCTTATCGAATGGGATTAGCCGTCCATCGGTAGTACAAATGAGAAATGTGTCGGAAGAAAACAACCAGACAATCTTGTCTGATTTCGTCGACAGACCGAGGATTGTGGCGATCTAAAAATCAGTGTTCAGGAAATCGACTAAGTTGGAGTACGCACTAAGCTACAACAACCCCTTTATTAGCCATGCACACAATTGCGCGGGGGCGTTGTATCGGAGCGTGGAGTCTCCCTGTGGTGAACTGCAGGAAAAATTTGCCGAAGTACATCACACTGGAAGGGTGCCCAAGCGAATCGCTATCCGCTAAAATTTGATAATGAACAAATGCAAAACGAGAAGAGAAGCCAAACCCCATCGGCCATACATTAAGACTGGCATTCCCCTACGTACAGAACGGCTTAGAAGCTGTTAGTCGCCTTCTCATGGCACTATGAGCGAGGGATACACGTAGACCGGAAGCAATTACTAGGTGTTGAATGGTAAAGCCGAAAGACCTAATGCTACGCCGAGAAACGTCAGGAGTCGCTTGTCTAGTTCGATGCAGTTTTGGACTAAGCGACAACGCCTGAACATCAGGAAGATTACTCTTGATGCGAATAGCTGAACAAGCATTAACAGCAAGGAAGAACGACGTCAACTCTCAAATCACGGTTCAGTCAACGGCGACCAGCCATACCTTTCAGTTCAACGAGACGGAAATCTTCACAGGGGCGAAAACCATGTGATTCGTGAGCTGCTTGAGACCCTTCACCTGTCCGCACTTCACCGTATGCCGTGCTCAGAATTTACCCATGCGGAGTAATTAGTCACCCAAGGAGCGCGTGGGTGAACACCGTTCCTGGTGACAGTAAGGATGAATCAATCACCAACACCGGTGGTGAAATGGTTGCGATTAAAGAATGGGATGGAGACGACCGAGCCATTATCGGAAAAGGTACGGACATGTGCCCTGAATGCAGAGAAGCTTACCCACCATCCACTTCTGTTTCAGTTTCCAATGAGTGCTTCCAGAATGAATCCTACAAGTCAGACCAATAAAATCCTTGTTCCAGCCATCGGACCTTATTTTTGTCAACTGCTTTTTGGGACTCGCCTCTTCGTATGCAGTGGTGAATAAAATGTTTTAGTTAAATAAAGATAAAAAAACTCGTTAGTACTTTGCGTGACAGACAGCCTATTCCGCAAGATAAGGCTTTAAAATAGTTAAAAGGGCCTGACTTTTATGGTCGGGCTTAATATTACTCTTGAACAACGGGCATTTTAGTCAAATAGGCAGGTAGGTCAATGGTTTCTGGGTCACATCCAATAAAAGGAGCTGATATATCGACTCCTAAAGGAAGGTATGACGTCCATTTTAGCGAATACTTCTTATGCGTACGATTTTGTACTGGTGGTCTCGCCTGTCCGAGAATCCTTTGAAAATTTGTGATGCCTATCAGGAAGAAAACATTTAGCCACCGAGATTATAAATTCCATCTCATCCCACTCTTCCGCAAGGTGTTGTGAATCAGCGTCTGATTTTTAGCGCCAACTGGAAAAACACCTGTGGAGGGGATTGCTCCATCACTCCTGTCTACCCTAACATCCGGGCTACGACTCCTGCTCGCTGGGGCTCGGAAACCCCACCCTACTTGTCCAACAAA